TGCTGCTCAGGCATGTTAATGCCTGGGTCTGCCCACGCTTGGATGATATCTTGCGCGTGTGTTGCACGCGCGATCTGTCAGTAATGCGTCTGTTAGAATATTCGCCTCTTGTGTGAGTATTTTAGTGAATTCGGGCGTTTGCTTCAAATCAAAATATAGTATATATGAGCGACAGGATTATTTTGGAATATACAATGCAAAGAAGTCTGTATACTATTCAGTTTTGATGTAATAATTGGCTCTTTGTATAGCAATAAGTATTGTATCATTTGCGACAGCTGACCTTTGAACTGCTGATAAATAAAAGCTTCTTATAGTGCGCTATCTTGCAATTATTCAGTATTAATTGTTGACTGTTTCTTATTTTCAATGAAAAATTGCTTGTGAATTACAAATTAATAGCACATATAGTTCACTCGGTCTTTTCCACCATGGCATACTTCCCTTCAAGCATTAACTATGCTTCAAGATATCGGCTTGAATGCGCAATGAATGTTGTTATTGGAAATATAATATCCCTTACAATAAACGGCAGACTGTTTCATTATGGCGCGTGAAATTCATCACGCGAAAAACGCGTTCGACTTGCAGCAGGGTAATTTGACGAAATTTTGCTATGTTTGTTAGCTAAAAACATTAACAAGGGAACAAAGTTTCCTGCGTTAATTTGGAAACCGTACATTTATTTGTAGATAACATTTAATGACGCGATTAACATTCGTTTGATGCCGATCATCGTAATATAGCCGCATAAAATAATGAAACGAAGCCTAAATGTAAACTTTCCGAATTTATTCAATAAACAGTGATATTATGTGTGAATGATTATCGCAATTCTGCGTCCTCCCAGTCACGAAATATACTGCTGCAGAGCCTCTGAATAAAAAGTATCATTTTTTGTGTTGTTTTTCGAAATATACATCACGTGATCGTTGCCATGACAACGAAAAGTAGGTCATCTTTTAGAATCTCCTTTGATAAATCATATAAAACTTGAATGGTAATAATCAAGGCCATGCTTATTTTTTTGATTTTTTTGTCTATTTTCGCTAAATACACAAACTGAGACCCAGGCATTAATGTACCCGAGTGTTACAATGTTTCTACCTCCCAACGTGCAAGCAATAGAGCAAATATGTGATTGAATTCAAGAGCTTTCACCAAAATGGCAATATCTCAGAAACAGTTGCATGAAAAAATCTGGTCTTTTCCACCAAATATTATTGATATATGATTGACCAAATTTAGTCTAAATGAACTTGCATACCCCTATATATATCATTAGTTTTTTTCAATGAGAATTTTTATTTTTAAAGCAGTGACACTTTGTTTTTCATGTCACTCATCACCTAAAGGGGTAATATCTCCATAAATTTATATAAAAAAAAAAAAAATTATTCACTAAATTAGTACATATCTATATTATAACCAATTTTCATCTATTGGGATATGAATTAGAAAATGATAAAAATATTATAAAATATACTCCTTTGCTTTTTTTGGGCAAGATGTTTACGACATGAAATTTAGTACAGCAACTAAGTGTTCAAATTCAACAAAGTGTGCAAGCCAAAACACAGTGCTTGTACATCTTTCAAGTTTTTAATTCGCGGTAATAAAAAAGATGGCGCCACGCATTGTATTCTGGGTAGATCGACATGTTTGCGCCAAAACAAACAATGGCAGGATCCAGATGGGAAAATCCAAAAGCAAAAGAGAAAACAGAATCAAAACGCGGAGCAGCAGCTTATTGAAAAATTTCTCGAGGGAGAAAGTATTCCCACTGAGAGCTGGACCACAGATTTAAAGCATGTTCCCGATATAACACATTCAGTTGTCGAGGACTTTTTCAAAAATGCAAAGGACAAGAGACATTTGACAGAGGGATATGCTTTTTCAAAGACAAAAAAGTTTGAAACATCTGGAAAACCTCTACGTATTAACCTCTTACCAAACTGTGATATGTTCTTGTTGAAAGGTCACACAAGACCAGCAATGAAGCAAGCGAAGGGCAAATAATCTGGTACCGGTATATATTCTTGCTTAGTGGTGTTTGACAAGATAACTGGTAACATTATAGTGGCAAGAGATAGATCATCTGCAGCAAAACGACGTGGCTATTGTAAACACATAGTTGCCCTGTGCTACAAACTTGTGGAGGCCAAAATGCGTTCTGCCAAAGAACTACCCCGAGCTCTCAGTTGTACAGAGATCAAGCAGCAGTGGGGAATACCATCAGCAAAAGCACAGCAAGACCCTGAAAAGCAGCTAATGAAGAAGAAACCTCTGCAAGACAAAACATTTGAAAAACATCTTCTCATCTGTGATCAGAAAGGGGGAAGAAAAAGAAGACTTCCACAGGAGGTGAGCAGTACTTACAGTGCAACGCCTGCAGGTGAGCCAAAAATTGATGCTGCATGTGTTGATGCATTCAAACAAGATTTGTCAAAATCCAAGAGTTCATACTTAGTCACCAACTATGTCCATCTTCGACCCAACTCTACATGTGTACCAGCAGCAGACAAAGAAAACACACCTAGTTGTAGTACAGCTGATAACTTTCCAAAGCAGAGATCTGAAACCTGATTCCAAGAAAGAATAGGAAAGGTTATTTCATCAAAAGCTCCAGCAGTTATAGGACTGTATGGAAGAAAAGAATTTACAGAAACATGGGAATGTATTAGAAACAGGAAGCCAGAACCATCTAAGAATTTTAAGAACTTTCAGAGAGGTATTAATTTTGAGGAACAGCAGCAAAATGTTTTAGTCTAAACAGTGGGGCTAAGTTATCTGAGTGTGGAATGTTTGTACTTTCATCTGATAATCGGTTTGCTGCATCTCCCGATAAAGTATTTCAGGGTGAAACCTGTTCTGAACTAATTAATCTAAAAACTAACAAGAGAGTTAAACTAAATGGACAATGTTTGCTTGAGATTAAAACTCGGGCAGAGGGACAAAGTGAGCCCTTACTTGCAGTCACTGTTGCACATATTTGCCAGGTTCAACTACAAATGAAGTGTACAGATGTGAGTTTAGCCATTCTTCAGTCATATGTTCCAGAATCTAACAAATCGAAGTACTTTCTTATTACTAGAAATGATGATTTTATCAACCTATTCCTCAACTTGTGTACTACTGCATTCAATCATAGTTTACCTGAGTTTGATTCTCTGTTAGGCATTAGGCAGTTAGCAAATGATTTAGCTAAACTCAGTCCTGAACTCTCGCGAATTATCTCACAGTGCATAAAAGCTTGACATAAGTAAATTTTATGCATAAAGAAACTGTTTATTAAGAAGCTGCTTTAAATTCCCAAGAGCAGAAAATCGTGAGCTTTTACAAAGATATTTTAATTTCTTAATAAGTAAATATTTCATGTATCAAATTCTCACAATACGTTGTTTCAATAGTTTTGGGGACACCCTGTATACCGTGGGCGGGTTATTGTCGTCACAGCAGTGCAACCAAATAATTCATCATAGAATATAAGCATCAACATGCAGCTGTGAACAATGATAGTACCGGAATACCGCAGGCATATGTGAACCAGGCTAAATTAAAGTACTTATAGTTGATATTTTACTTCGCGGCTTGAATACAATCTTCGCCAAATTGCCTTTCTTTTAAATTTACTGATGGGAAGTCGTTTAAGAACTGAATACTGAACAACATGGAGCAAAACTTGCATCCAACGACGTCAAATTAAAGCCATGTTACTTCGATAACTAGAGTTGCATGAGGACATTGTTTTTTAATCAATTAAGGCACTGATTCGACACATGCATATGCCTAACATAACAAAAACATGATCAATGATAAAAAGTATTCCATGCACATGCTTCAATCGCACTGACTTGCCCCTGGTTGCGTTGCCATGCTTTTTGGCAGGCAAAAGTACATTTAACCATGAAATTGCATGCATGCAAAGCATCGTTCTTTCAAAATGCCATACTATAGTCATAGTTGGCAGTTGCCAAACTGTTGATGCCATGTCTCTGTGTCAATTACGTCAAATCGTATTCAATTCAAACTAAAAGTCAACAGACGATCAGATCGACAATCTAGATGAAATTGATTCGCTTTTAACGCTTGAAATGAACGCTTTCAGCTGCCATGCAATTACAATGTTGATTTTACTGTACTATATAGTATATAGTTCTAAGGCCATATAAAATAGATTCCTTGATTCTCGTCACCGCCCGACGATATTTTGGTTTCCGCGTTGATATATTTTTGTATTTTGTTATAAAATATAAATTTACCGCCTGACCGAGCATCTTCAGAGATTTAGTTATTTTTATATTTTATATTGGAATTTTTGCGATATAAAATTGTTTTATCGTTAATATTGCAACATGTTAAGGGATGCTTGGAATACTGAAGGAAAAAAATGGGCTTATAGCCTTATTACAACGATTTGTGTGGACCCTTATGCATGTTCATTAGCGCATTTGCAATTATCCACTTATATAGCGTTCTTCTATAATATATTTAAGGGCAAATATAAAAAGACCTCCCTCTCCAATTTTTTAAATTTTAAACTTTTTTTTTATATTTTGATATAAAATATAAACCTCCCGCCTCCTGGGAGTTTTTAAAATTTAGTGATGAGAATCAAGAAATTTATTTTATATGGCCTTATAGATTCGAGCGGGGCCACTCGGTTGGGCGGGGTGAGTACGAAGTGGGAAAATTTTCCTGGGCCCCAAATTAGAGCGAGAGGGCATTAAATATAAAGAATTTGTAGAGGATGGCCATCAAATGCACGAATTGGTAGAAAAATGTGGAATGTGTGAAATTTCGGAAATATTTTTCCATATTTTTTCCCAAGAATTACGCCCAAAATTTGAAATTTACCTTGCCTCCCAAATTTCTCTCGGAGGTCCTGTGTTCGATTGCAGTTTGGAAAAGCATGTGCGAGTGAGTGTCTCAAAGACGATCAAGGACGAGTACAATTTGAAGTCTTTGAAAAACTCACTAGTGTTTGTTTGTCCCAATTGCATGGACGAGAAACCATAATATATATATATATATATATATATATATATATATATATATATATATATATAAATTATTTTACCGTCACTTATAAACAGATGCAAATAAATAATT